TCATTTTTATCCAGCAGCCACCGTTTCAGTCTTGCTTTACCTGTATTATGGAAGCAGATGGTCCGCATGTCTTTTGAATATTTATAACTATCAAAAACAATCTCTTGCTATTCACCCTTAGGCTTATGAGATGTCAGGACTGTTCTGGTTGGAAAAAAAATCATCTTGGGTGTTTACAGAAAGAGGATTACATTAAGCTGAAATGACTATACATTTTCCAGTTTAATATTTGTCCATCAGCTGTTTAATCGTATTTAGATAATTGTGTAAATAAGATGTGGTAGCCCTTGCCCTGTCTGCTGAAGGAGCCGGCAAGCTTTCAACGTGGGTGAGCCACCATTTTGTAGAAGCTGCTTCTGTCTCTTCCCATCTCAGCCTACACCCAAGTCCCAAGCAAGTTAGGATCCCGGCAGTCCTGTTTAAAAAGCCAGGAGACCTGCAGAAGCACAAGGCCCTCATGGAGCCCTCAGAAACCCCAGGGAGCTGCTAGCTGCCTGGCTCCTGGGAGCTTTGTCACATGCAAAGGCTGAGCAGCCGCCCACCCCTGTAAAACAGGCCTGGCATCCTCCTCCCTTTCCCCAGCTTGCCCTGCTTCTGGGTATTTTGGAAAACTTTTGGAATAGTGGGGGTTAACTGGTTTTTTTGACTGGAAGCTGAGCAATCAGAGATAACAGATTTTGCTGTGGTTGGTTGATTTGGCAGAAAAGCATGAACAGTTTTGGTTTAAATGATTGAATAACCTGATTAGCATTGTTTTGGGGTGTTTTTTTTCTTTGAGGGGGGTTGTTAAAGGCACAACAAAGCAGTTTTAAGGGTAATCAGATTGCAGCCCCTTCCCGGTTGATAATCTTGTCCTTGAGAAGGCTTCTCTTCTCCCAAACAAGTCCCCTTGGCCACTAAGATGGCCAAGCGGAACAGTCAGGCCACCTTCCTTCATTTTCCAGTGTATTATAGATATATACTACAGTGTGTGTGACTCCCTAGCAGGGGTTTGGAAGATAACATTTGGGAAGATTATGTAACTTCAACCAGTTCCTTGTGTTTTTCTGTTTTTCACATTGAGAGACCTGCAGATTTTCGAGCAAAGGTTCAGAATGTTCCAACAATATGTAAGTCAGGCTTTAGAAAAATTCCACCCTTACCTTTTCACAATTAGAAAGGTTATAAATAATGTATTTGGCTGAAAAGGAGGCTCAGCCCGTGGCAGATGGTATCCTTCTAGAGGGCTGGGGTTTCTGGGAAGATGGCATCCTTACAGATCGGAACTTCAGCAGACTCGGGAAGAGCCAAGCTCCTCATAGGGAGCAGACATGTACTCTGTGGATCTTAGGAAAGCTTACAACTTGGCTCCTCGGATGAGAATATCGTGTCACACAGGGGTTAGGAGACCCACAGCCAATTTCTGCCAACTTTTAAATTGTATCTCCCCACACTGGGATCCTCTGTCCGTGTTTTAGTTGGTGTGCCCTGCAGCAACATTTGAACTCGGAATTTCTAGCATCAGAATTTAGTCAGTTGGATTAATTGACTCCCCGAATGTTGATGTTTTGACACTACTGGCCACTGAAAACTTACACAGAAATTGTGTATTTGAAAGTGCTCATATAAGTAGACACCAAGGGAGCAGAGCAGCAACCACCAGCAGCCTCTTTGGGGACATCTGGGGGTGGGCTTGAAAAACCTGGAGGGGGATCTCTTGCAAATTATTGAAGAAAGGCGCTTGTAGCTAAGAGATTGGGCTTAGAAGTTGACTTGACAATAATGCTGTTGCCTTTGACGTTGGAGGGTCAAAGAGGAGGACGTTCCAGTGATCCAAAGAAGTGGCTTAGTGTTTGGCCTTCTCCCATCCCTACGTGTGTTCAGCCTTGTGCTGAGCATCCAGGCTGTTTTGAGATAAGTCTAGAAGAAATGCCCAGTGTAGGAAGTGCTAGTTGCTGTGGCTCAGCCTGCTTTGATTCGGGAAGGTGGGAAGGCCTGGCAGATTCGGAGCCATAGAGCCTGAAGGATGAACAGCTCCTAGGCAGAATGGAGGAGCCATGGGACTATGTCCAGGGGTGAAGGGTTGAGTCTGTCTTACTGATACTTGCTATGAAATGCACCCCAGCTTCACTGAGCTGAGAGGTTGAACAAAAACAAAAACTGTTTACCCTTGTCCCTTGACTTTTTACCACATTTAATTAGTGCATCCTTCAATTTTCCTAGGAACATTTCTGTGGGGACAGATGTCTCAGTAGGTGATGTGCATGGTGCACATGCATGAAGACTTGACATGGATTCCCAGCACATACATAAAGAGCCTGGCCTAGCAGCTTGTGACTCCAGTACTAAGAACAGGAACAGGAGAACCCCTGTGGCTAATTGGCCAGCTAGTCAGCTGAATCCTTGAGCTCTAGATTTAGTGAGAGACTGAAAATATGGTGGCTTAGGAAAGAAATCTGGTTTTCACATACCCACGTCTACACAGAGACGTCATTTTGAAAATCGTATCTGCTATTTAAAACATCCTAATTCTTCGGTGTTTGTACATGTGTGTGTGTGCGTGTGTGCACACATGTTTGTGTATCAGGGTGTGAGGAGTTCAGGGCAATGTCTAGGCGTCACTTCTCTACTGTCTCAGACTCAGCAGACATCTTGCTGCTCTGTCATCACACTGGCCCCACTGAAAGCATCTTTGACAGATCTGCATTACCAATAATAAAAGCCCACTGATGGAGTAAGGAAGTGAAGGGGGAACAGAGGGTCCTCTGCCAAACGGTAAAATCACCTTAGGACTAGAATGCTCACTAGAGATTAGGGCTAAGCGGGGGCAGTGGAAGCTTTGATGACGGGGCACATATGGATGCTATTTTCCACATATGGATAGTAATGAACTGCATAGCACTTTGCATATGAGCTTGAACTTTATTAAAGTATTTCAGAATGTATTTCCCTCACACTATGCATTCTCCCTTTTCTCCCCACCATTGCTGCAGAGAGTCACATTATATTGAATCAATCTACTACATCTCCTACTTCCTAATAGGTGACAAACTTATTAGACAGACTATGTCTGACCCCTCTTTGTGTCCTTCATAACAGCCAGTACAGCAACAAACTAATGTAATGTATAGAACTAAGGGGACAAAGTGGACTGGATATTTATTGAAAACCTCTACAGAATTTAGGAAGCCTGTGTATTTATTTCTAAATATGCGCCCTTCCATGCTGTGCTCTGTTAACGTAGGAAAGTGTCGGGGTGTTTAGGTAGAAGTCGGGCCAGGGTGGAAGACCACGAGCTGTCACCGTCCGCAGTCACTCTTATCTATCAGTGATCTCAGTCATTTTATTAGACGCTAACATTGATCCATTATTACGGGAGAGTAAGGGAGATGGAAGCCGGCGGATTGCTCACTGTCAGGTAGTCGTCCTCTGGCTCGGGTTTGGCAACTTGCTAAGTGTCTTTGCACAGTGGACTGGGGGAGGCTCTTAGGGGAACTGCAAGTGATTGGATTAATGGCAGGGCTTCACGAGCAGATTAAGAATGTCTTTTTAGAGAAGTAAAATGTAAAAGTGACGATAAAGTAGAAAGTGTGGGGAGAGAAAGCTATCATGGTGCCTCATTGGATTTTACATAAATAATGCAACTCTAGCCTGTGCATTGCTCCCACTTCTTTAGAGGACCCCCAAACTTACACATTACAGGAATGTGTGTGCTACTAAGTTAACGTGATGATGGATGTCAGAGTTAATAATAGCCCAAAGAGCTTTACATTTGAAGTAGCTTAAAGAAGATAATGATATAAAACTGTCCCCAAACTGGCTTTTCTGGTTATTCGTTCCCTCCCAACAATGGAGCCTTCTGTAAGCTGTTTCTCTGTAGGCCAACCAGGTCTGAAATTTAAGCTCTTAGGTTTCTACTCCCAGGACCCGGAGGCTTGGTGCTTCAGTCTCATTCCTAAGACTCAATAGAGAGTTAGTTTAGCTACTAGAAACTGTGGGTGAACCAGGAATTAAGTGACAGCAATTACTGTAACCAAAATTATCTGGGAAAATAGGCTTTTGTATTTTGGAAATGTGATTGTGTATTTTTTTATTTTAAACCTTAGTGGTACATTAACATCATTGTCTCCATTTTTACTTATTAGAAGGCCGACTACCGTCCCTGCCTTTTTGTTTGAGTCAGGGTCTCACTGTGTAGTGTGAGCTGGGCTGTCCGAGGACTCACAGCTCTGCCTGCTCTGCCTTCCTGAAGGCAGACATCACCATGCCCAGCTCTTCACACTTTTTTTTTTAAGAGAAAAATGGCAAAGAGACAATTCTTTCTTTTTCTTTCTCTCTTCTTTTTGTGAATGGGGCTCTTAAAATGTTAATTAGCACGAAATATATATATTTAAACATTTTCTGGTCATTTAAAATTCACAACTCAAGCTTTACTAGATAAAGCCAGCAATCAACTCTGAAGATACTCGTCTTCTGAGAAAGGCTCTTGAGATAGTTTGCCTCTTCAGTGTGACCTCTGAGCACTGTTAACACACCAGCAGCTGAGATCCATACAGTGAACATGAAAGTAAAAAAATGATTTCTCCTGCTCGATTGTGCCTGACTGTGCTGAGGGGTGTTAGAGAGAGGCAGGTGTTACTGAGGCCGGGCAGAGCTCAGGCCCTGGCCTGCGTTTCAGACAAGCTTCCAGCTTCCAAGCATTGTCCGTGGCTCACGAACATGTCAGGTTCAGTCACCGTGCTACAAAATACCCTACCTTTCTAAATGTCAGTCCTGGCATCATCTGACTGGGATGAGGAATGGGTGGTGTGGATGAAGGATGGGTAACAAGTGCTGGTGTGTAGGCTGCTGCTTGCTACTTAAACAGCATTTGATAATCTACTTAATGGAATCTAAGAACCTGAAGCTTTGGTTCCAGTTGGTTTAGAAGGACTGAAAGCAGGTACAGCTTCCCACAGCTGAGGTTGTGGTGCCCACCTTGTGCCATGCTGTATTATACATGTCCTTCCCTCTCTACACAGAGTATGATCTCCTCCATTGTGAACAGCACGTACTATGCAAATGTCTCGGCAGCAAAATGTCAAGAATTTGGAAGGTGGTACAAACATTTCAAGAAGACAAAGGATATGATGGGTAAGCAAAAAAATAAATAAATAAAAAAAGGAAAACGCCCATCCCCTTACCGTGGCAGCATACCAGCATACCATTGCATGTCATTTGGGGGTTTATCAAAGTCACATCGAAAGCCAGATCTTTTGATTGCCCAATTAGAGATCAATTTAGGATGTTTCTTTGGGGGTGGGGGAGTGGGTATGAGTATAATGAGATAATTAAATTCAATAAATGTTTGTGTTTAAATCAGCCACACTGACTTGGTTGTCAGACATGCAGGAAATCGAGGCGCGAGGAGGAGAGCTGTCATTTTGTAACATCTCAGTGAAGCCCTAACCAGGCCTTGAATAACTAATATCAGCTGTGATTTCTCACAGAGATAATCATGCTTTAAGGATTTTTGCTTTTGTTTGCAAAAAAGAGAAAGGGGCTGTTTTCACGCCAGCTTTTAAACAGGATTCAACTGTCATTGACTCACTAAACACTCTTTGGTTTTTACCATTGAGCTGGAGTGGTTTTTATGGCTCCAGACCCCACAGGTAGGCACTTTCAGTTCCAGTGTAGCGCCCCCTCTGAGCATGCTGCGTTAGGTCAGCATTTGTTACACAAGACATACATCAAGATGAGCCAGGGTGGAAAACAACGGTCACAGTTGCTGTGGCTGAGCGGTGGGAGACTGGCACTTTCTCTTCGTGAATCAGTTAGTGCTCATGGGAGTAACCACTGTGGCTAAGGTGAATGTACCTTCTTTCATAATACATACTACATCTTGAAATTAAACAGGAATGGAGTGTTTCGTATACAAAACCATATGCCCTATTGTAAATCTTTGTTTATCACCATTCTATTCATTTAATAGTAACAACAGTAATAACTTTTCCTAAAGACTTAGAGACAAGAAACCCGAATTTTAAGCATGTTTTTGCTTTTAATATTTGAAGAAAGGCCATCCGTCTACCGAAACAGATTCTTTGCTTTTATAGCTTAGGGCTGTAATGAAGACAATGCATCAAGTTGGGAATAATTGCTTGAATTACTATTCCATGTGAATGGCCCACTTGGGCTGATATCACTAGTAGAAATTGAAGGTTTCTTCCCATTCTTAGTTAGAGTCTGCACATATCATGGGGTATAGGAATATGACCAGTCCTTTTGATTATAAAATCTGCATATTTAATGAAAAGAAATAGTGACTAAAATCCAAGTCGAGCCTGTCCATGAGAAGTGTGGATGGTTGAAAAGGCTTACCTGTTTCTGTCACACAGTTCCCTCTAGGCCCTCCTGTGCAGCAATGCAGCATTTGACACACTTAGAGCTGACTCTCAGCCAATCCACACAAGTGTTCTAGCCAAGGGAGAAACATTCATTCTGGGTAGGTGGAAATAAATTGAAGAATTGTGACAGCCTCACCATTGTCCTAGGACAGCTCTCTGCCCCGTTCTTAGCAGCTGGTGAGAACCACACTTCTATGAAAAGCATTGGAGCCTTAGCCACACTGGATATGCTGGCTTGCTCTACTCTACGTCTTTGCTTTATCCTGAGAAGTATTTGCTGAAATCCTTATGTGTCCATGATTGGACCTAAATGAAACAAACTCCAGTGATGCCAAGAGTGACAGCCAGCTATTATGCCCACCTTTTTATGCCTTTGTTCTGTAGACTACTTCCTTCTTTTGCCTGGATTGCTAGAGTTAATAGAATACGGAAGTATTTGCAATTTTTTCTCTAGTTGTTTCTTAGTCATGGTTTAGTTATTTGCTTTTAATTTAGCTCATGGTTTCTTGTTGCCATTAAGCAGGCAGTGTTTTTGAGGCCATCTTAAAAGAAATAGCCGCTAGTTATGAGCCTTCTAGTGCTCATGACTAAGAACCAGTAATAGTTTGATTCCAAAGCAAACATTAAAAATGTATTTATAGTAAATTTTATGTCTTAAATCAGTGGTTCTCAACCTTCCTAATACTTCGACCCTTTAATATAGTTCCTCATATTGTGGTGATCCCCAACCATAAATTATTTTTGTTGCTACTTCATAACTGTAATTTTGCTACTGTTATGAATCATAAATAATTTTGGTGATAAAGGTTTGCCAAGGAGATCTTGACCCACAGGTTGAGAACCACTGCGTTAACTCTAAGGTGTATTTTAAAACAACAGAGGGAGTGTTGTTCTGTACTAAGATTATCGAATTGTCTGGAGAGGAAAACGGTGGCCCAGAAAGTGGTGTTCTGAAATTATCTTGGCATCATTACTCCTCAGTGTGTTCTTTGCTTGCTGATTTCTTTATATTTCTTTTATTAAGAAGTGATTAGAAATTTTCTTCATTGCTGTCTGAACTTGACTTTCCTTTTTGTCCACTTTAGTTGAAATGGATAGTCTGTCTGAACTGTCCCAGCAAGGCACCAACCATGTCAACTTTGGCCAGCAGCCGGTCCCAGGGAACACAGCTGAGCAGCCGCCATCTCCTGCACAGCTCTCCCATGGCAGCCAGCCCTCTGTCCGGACCCCTCTTCCGAACCTGCACCCTGGGCTTGTGTCAACGCCTATCAGTCCTCAGCTGGTCAACCAACAGCTAGTGATGGCCCAGCTGCTTAACCAGCAGTATGCCGTGAACAGACTCCTAGCCCAGCAGTCCTTAAACCAGCAGTACCTGAACCACCCTCCCCCTGTCAGTAGGTCCATGAATAAGCCTTTGGAGCAGCAGGTTTCAACGAACACGGAGGTCTCTTCAGAAATCTACCAGTGGGTGCGGGATGAGCTGAAACGAGCGGGGATCTCCCAGGCAGTGTTTGCACGCGTGGCTTTTAACAGAACTCAGGTCAGTGTTGTTCTGCCTCCTCCTCTTCCTTCCCTCCTCCTTCCTTCGCATCCGTGCTCAGGTTCTCCTCTGCGTTCACCTCCAGCGCACACACTGGCATTGCCTGTGCTCTTGGAATGGCAGCTGGTAGTGACAGAAGGTGAAGTGTCTAGCCTAGGTCTTTTTCCGTGTTTCTGTTCGTACCAAACTTAAATATATTACTGTGTTTTGTTGAAGTTCTTCAACCTCTTTTGATACTGTGCAGCTTAATAATGGTTTAATTTAATTCTGCAGACATTTCTTAGCTTGCCTTCCTCTGTGATTTGCTTCTGTTCTCCACACCGCCTCCTTTGGTTTCCCCCATTTTTGTAGTAGAGCTATATGCCTTTTACAAAGTGTAGTCTGTCTGCTTTTTTTCTGTCTGTCCTTCCTTTTTTTGTTTTGTTTTGTTTGAGACAGGGTTTCTCTGTGTATCCCTGGCTGTCCTAGAACTTGCTCTGTAGACCAGGCTGGCCTTGAATTCATAGAGATTCTCCTGCCTCTGCCTCCCTAGTGCTGGGATTAAAGGCATGGGCCACTACCACTGCTGCCCAGCCAAAATATGTTTTTTTTATGACCCTTTGTGTATACATTGTATGGCTTGACCACACTTCTAAGATTCTCTCCTTCTGCTGCCCTTTGCCAGAGTCCCACATAATTTTCACAGACTTCACTTCACACCAGAGAAAGCAGGGGTTTTGTGTTTGTTTGTTGTAAGTTCAGAAAGTAAATATTTGAGTGCCATAAAAATCTCTTATCACACTATAGATCATTAGGCGTCTACAGTGGGGGGAATGGGTGTGGCTTGGTGGCATTTCACTACTCTCTGTATAACAGACCTTGTGCTGGGTTGGTCTGGAAGCATTAGTTGAATATTCAATTTAGACTTCTCGTTGAGGTCTACAAATGCCCCAGGTTACATCATTTACCTCCTGGGCGAATTTCTGTGAGACACAATCTTCTCTGAAAGGATAGTATCTTTAGTATTTACAAGTTTTTCTTTGTTTTGTTTAGAGACTAATATAATGTATGTGGTGCTTACTTTTAGCCAAGACACACTAAAATATGAAGAACGTTTAGCTTTGAGACAATAATATCTTTTCAGTTTTCTTGTCTTTACATTCTTGTTTATTCACCCCCCCCCCTTTGCCTGACTCAATTTGTTTATTACATGATCATAGGAATAAAATTCTGGTACAAAAATAATTTAGTGTTATTCCTTGTTGGCAAAGTCGCTGAGCCTGGGAGAGTGCCAGCTATGACTTGTGTTTGGCTGGCCCTGGCTAGACTGAGGGTCAGACCTGGTGGATCTCACAGAGCTTGTTTTCAGGATCTCCACCTGCTTTTCTCTTCGCTCTTGTTCTGGTTTTAAAAGAGTGATTCTTACACTCGATTGTCTTAGGTTAAAACTTGGTATTTTCAAGAAGTCCATGTCTGTACAGCTTTAAAACTGTTCATTATTAGCTAGCAAATTTAATATGACCATTTAGTTCAGTTGGGACCAATAATAATAAAAAAAATCAGTGAATCAAAGGCCACCCTCTAGAAATTCTGACTTGTAAATACAGTAATTACTAGTAATGCTTAGTCCTGGGCCAAAAGCTGGGGCTCTACGTAAGAGTCGGGTAATGTTTGTTGAATTCAATTAAAGCCTTCAGACAAAGACCACACTGACACAGACACAGATTATAGATTTACCGATAAGCCCTTGAAAAAGTGAACAAATGGTTGTGTGCTAAAGCACAAGGCTGTGTGTTCTGTGAGTGTGAAGAATGAAGGGAGGGCTGCATGCTTCCTCACTGCAACTGGGAGATGCCCACTGTCTGTCCTTGGTTCTCACACAGAGCCTTTGTGGTTATCTGTAGGTTTTATTACAGTCAGTGGTGAATTTCTCCATGAATTAGTGTCTTTAAAAAGGCGGTTCTCTGTGGCTCACATGGGGATCAGTGAGTTTGTTTTCTGAGCATTGAAACATGGCATACTTTCACCCAGGTACCACTTCTTAAATGGGAAATTTGGAGAAAGAAAATCACTATCCCAAAATATTTGTTGATAAACAGGTTTAACCCTTTATGTAATAGGAATTGGTATTTCTCAGTGGGAGATATTGGACCTCGTTTAGAACCGCCTATTTATTCATTTATTTATTTAAGTATAGGTTGTTTCGTGTGGATATTTAGATGTTCATTGAGAGCCAGCTTTTGCACACTAACGCATGTATGTATTTTTTTAGTGGTCATACTTAAAAATCACATACAAGCGCCCCCACGCAGCTGCATTTAGTTCAGTGATTATACATTCATATGAATGCATGTAGTGTGTTTATTTCAGAGTGTATACATTTCAATAAAAGCAGGTGCGGAGTGAGAGTGGGTGTGAGTGTGGAGTACGGAAATACACATGCTGATGCATATGTAGCCGAGAGCTCTGCAGCCACAGCGCACAGCTCGGGGTGCGCCTCTTTCAGTGAGCGCTGCCAGCCCGGTTCAGACATTGCTGTCAAGCGTGTGCACGAAAGGCACAGTTCTGCTTGGGTAGAGGAGAGACTGCGCCCTGTCCCTGTGCAGACTATGGCAAAGCGTTGGCGTGATAGGTGGCACGGTTAGGAACGGAGAATCATTTCCATCATTGACAGCTCTGAGTAACTTTAAGCAGTGGATTTCCTGTTTTAACCCACGAGAATCCCCTCATCATCTTAAAAGGGCTTCCCAAATTAAACGATCATCCTTTCAAGACTGTCAACATAGACGATAAAAAAGTCTACCATTTCTGAAAATTTATGGCAGAATTTATAAAATTACTTGTTTTAGAGAATTTTCCCGTTCTGAATGATGGTCGTGTTATTTACTTGATACTGAAGATAGTAGCTCTTAGCACATGCCGTTCATCCACGTAGATCTGCTGATGTCTTTTTAATGGAAGCTGTGCCCGGAGGTGACTGCCAGGGCTTCTGTGCTTACACTTTCAGTTCACCTCTCTGGGATACTGTCATCTTAAAAACCCAGAGTTCAGCTCTGATCCTGCTCAGTGGCTTCTCCCTCTTCCTTCTCCCTCCTGTCTTTGGCACATTTTATTTTCCAGTAAAATAAAGAATGAAGATGGATTATTCAAAACTGAAAGCAGTAATGGACCATCATATAATGTTTTATTGAATTTGAGTTCTGTGAATTATGTGGTGGAGATAGATTCTCCTGCTTAGTATAACAAAAATCGCTACTGTGTTCCTATAATTCTTCAGTGTAATTTAAGAAAAGTCCACTATCTGTAACAGTATTGACTAAAAGGTAAAAAGGTACCATTACCTGGCGTGACAGCCCTTGATGAGCCTACCAGGACAGAGATGAATGTGTCCACTTAGAACTTGCTTGGCATGCGTCCACGAGCAGGTGGAGTTTGAAAATAGTCTTTCACCTGGACATGTGATCAGGAACTCCCCAAACAGGCAGCCTGGAGAATATTCTGTGTTTCTCTTTAGGAGAGAGGTTTCCTCAAATACTTTCTTTTTTCTTTCTGAGGGCTTTGAAGTTCCACGGTGCTGATAAAATCTTTTTTAATCGGTGATTATGTTCAAAGAGGAGACAAGCTGGAGGCCAGGCAGGCTCTTTGTTCAGATCGGCCGTCTCTTTTACTTATCTGCTGTTCTAGAGAATTCATAATGAGTTTTTGGAAGTGCTGATAATATTTATTGAAGGCTTTTTTCTTTCTTTTACAATTACTAATGAATTTTACTTGTAATAACTTGTATAACTCTTGTTGGAATGTGAAAAAGAGCAGTTTAGGAATTTATCAGTAAATGAATTCTTTAATTGAAAAAAAAACAGAGCTCTCAGTTACCACTAAGTCGTGACAGTGCAGAGTCATTGTGTGTTTTTCTGTGTGCGACACACATCTGATCATTTGTGAGATGTGAAGTCCCAAGGAAGGACAGCTTCTAACTTCCAGGAAAATTGATATTCATGACATGTTGGGAACTCCCTTCATACTCACAAGTTTTTAAATTCTTTTTAGAAACAAAGTTACTGATGATTTTGCCCAGTTAAGATTATTAAGTTAAGATTATTTGTGTGCCACCCATGGCACACAAAATGGCTGCACTTTAATTCAGAACCTCAGCCAATTCTGTGAGGTTGCAGGCCTTTGTGTGCTGTTCCTTTACTATGGTGGATTGTTGGTAGTGATATCTGTATTAGTCAGTCATGAGCACATAATGCAAGTGGCCTTGACCTTCCCTGGCTTGGCTGCATATATTTGACCTGTATAAAATAGGGGAAGGAGCTATATCCATATTGAATTCGTCAGCCGCTCAACACTCTGAAGAGGGCAAGAAATACACTCTAGTGTCCGGGCTCCAGCAGTAGTCATTTGTGTCCAGATTCTTGTACATTACTACATTACTCTTAAGTAATTTTTAAAATTAACACACTAATCATATGGTTTCTGACAATATTTTCAGGCAATTCCACCAGGGGGCACTCCCCTCATTGAAAGCTCTGGGCCAAAAAAAAAAAAAAAAAAAAAGTTCTGACCCTGTGGACTGTGCGCGCTGAGTGCTGTGTAGCTCTGTGAACTGCCGGGCATCGGGACGGTCCAGGAGGAGACGTGCATCCTCCACGGGATGACTGAATTTGGAAAGGCTCCGCAGAGGGAGCACTCGCATTTGCTTGGATGGGAAGGTGTGCTTACTTCACACCAGGTTTCTCCTCAGTGCTGTGCTCGCAGGACTGAAAGAAAGGGCTTCTGGCTGTTTTGTTTTGTTTTTTTTCTTTCTTTCTTTCCTTTTTTTTCTCCATCTCACTGTAGTTCTCTGCTGTGGAGCATTTTTAATAGAGAGTTGGACTGTGTTCCTTTGGTTTTTTTTTTTTTTTTTTGAGATATTTAGATATTTTATTTCAAGTACTCTGGTATAGGAGAAACCTAAATATAAAGGGTATCTTTTGCCCTGATTTGTTTTTTAATATACTGAATAGTTAGTAGGCTCCTGCAGACTGGTGCTTTACAGAGCACCGGGCAATGATGTCTAAGGCCCAAGTGCCTTGCCTGGAAGGGCCCATGGGCTTGATTATGTAGTAAAGTTAGTCATAGTTCATCGTGACCTCCAGAACATACTCTCATGTATTTTTTTATTATTTCTGTAGTGTATAGCCACGTAATTGTCTTTGTGTTTATCAACAGCTTCAGCATAAGGCATTGGACTAAGGTGACAAAAATGTCCTGTTTCGCTGGAAGAGTTTGTGACGTTTTGCCTGCGCTCAATGCTCCCATCTGCTTATGCATCCCTATACCATTGCTATATATTGCGTTACCAACTACATCTTTTATTTGTTTCCTTTTATTTATTTATTCATGTTTTGAGACAGTGTCACTGTGTAGTTGTGGCTGTTTCAGCCTTCGGGGGATAGGATTGCAGGCGTGTCCCTATGCCTGGCTTCCAAGGTTCTGCTACTGCTGTTTGTATGTTTGTTTGCTTTTTAAGTATAGAATATTTTGCAGGAGCAATGGCACAGTCTTTGTGTGTGATTAGTGTGTTCATTTCTATAAGACACATCAGAAAGAGTCTAATTAGTTGGCCTGGTACAAGTTAACTAAGCTGAATGGCTTAAGTGGCCTGTTTGGATCTGAGTTCAGCTGACAGAACACCTTGCTCTCAGTAGACAGTTGCAGGTACTAGTTAGTATCATGGCCATAAGGACAAGGGCCTCAATTCTTAGATAACATTTCTTGTGAAACTCAGATAGAACGTCCAGATTTGGTTGCAATAGACGTGCTGAGAGATGATTTACTTATGATTGACTCAATTTCCCAGAGCTTGTTGGAGGTTTCTTTCCCCCTTAAACATCAACTTATAAATCAAATGATTTATTTGACAGGGACAGTGTTTTTATCCTGTCTGTACCCACATGCTATATCAGGCAACATGGTGCACCCTGACTTGAGAAATTTGGAAGAAATCAGGTTTATACTTCCAAGAAACCATAACAATCCCCAAATACTAAAACTTTGACGAGTCTGTTTTGCCTTCTCTCAAATGCACATGTTTGACCATTTCCACGGGTTAGGTCAGGTCATACAGAAGTCTTGATTGCGACTACCGTGAGCTCCTGATGTGTCTAGAAAAAGGAAGCAGGGCGTCCTGGTGTCCCACACACTACTACGGACTTGAAATCGAAGACACAGCTATTGAGTCTTATGTGCTCAGAGCAGCCTTTGCTTCTATGTCTGCTTCATACTGTTCAAATGCATTAGGAGGGAATCAACCATTTAATAAACAGATTCTCCCAGAGGAAAAAGAAAGGTATTTTACTACTTCATTGCTGAGGGAAGAGAAACATCTGAAGAGAAGTTCCTAGGAGTTTCTGAGTTTCTGCTGTTATTAATAGTGATCTTTGGTTTCACGTGATTTGATGATATTCTTTTCAATATGTCAAATTCTGGGACAGAATTTTACAGTGTGGAAGAATGGTTATGTATTTCAGGATTGCTTTGTGGTTTCTGATGTTCAAAATTTTCAGCCTGTTACCTACTGGTATGGTATAGAACCTTCTAAAATCACTTGTGGTTGTCCATTTCCTCTAAACAGCACATTCACATGGCCAACTGTGGCACTTCATTATTTGAACATTAAGGAATAACAAAGTATTGTCTTTATAAACAGAAGTCTTAGTGGCGTTGAGTGCTGTGCTGCAGCTCCTTCTTCATACGTTTGGCTGGCTCCTCTAGAGAAGGTCGCCCTGGGCCTTTGTCTCAGCTTGAGAACGGCACAGCTCAGTGCTGTTGTGCTGTGGAGAGTTCACTTATTCTTAACTTCCCCCACCATCTCTCTGGGAAAGATTTCATGGCAAGTTAAGCTACTCAAAGGAAGGAGACCAATTAGGCCATTTCAGTTTCTGCTATATGTAAAGCAGATGCTTAATAAAATCAAGGATACAATTGAGGCTCTCTTCTCTACCACTTCAGCTGTAGCTAATATATTCCTATAGAGACTCGAGGCCTCTGACTGCTCAGTTTCTAAAGGGCATGAAGAAGGCAGGGCATAGGACACTCCCATACCCTGGCTAGAGCAAGGAGCAAGCTCACCCTGTGTCTTTCTTCCCCTGCAGGGATTGCTTTCTGAAATCCTCCGAAAGGAAGAGGACCCCAAGACTGCATCCCAGTCTCTGCTGGTAAACCTTCGGGCTATGCAGAACTTCTTACAGTTGCCAGAAGCAGAAAGAGACCGGATATACCAGGATGAGAGGGAAAGGAGCTTGAATGCCGCCTCGGCCATGGGTCCTGCCCCACTGCTGAGCACTCCGCCCAGCCGTCCCCCCCAGGTGCCCCTTCTCTTCCTCGTGATTCCTTCTCCTGTCCTGAAAAATGTTAATGATTACTCTTGGCAAGAAATTAGATGAATAGATACAGATTTTTTAAAGTTCCATAGACTTTCTTGAGAATTTCATCCCAAATCACTAATTTTGATGGGAAACAGTTCACTCCTAATTACAAGGGAAGAAAAAAACTGCCTTGTGTTGTTCCAAGTCTTTGGGTTTTTGAGGGTTGAAGAAGTGACGTAGCCACCTCTACTATTGTTATTACAGATGTATTCTGTTCACCTCAGAACAGAAATAATAAGGCCTGGTTACTATCACTGGTTTGAGGACTGCCATTTGAATAGTAAATAAAAAATAAATAATTTCATTTATATTTATGCTTTCCAATACGGACTGCAGCTGGTACCAATTACATATCATCTCGTTTGTAATCTTTCATAATTAAGTTTAAAACAATTCTTGAAGGCAGCTTTAAATGGGACTGATAAAGATTTCTCTCTAAATTCCCAGAAATGGGCACATTTTTATTTTCTTCAAAATGTTCCATATTTTAGGAAGGAAAAATGAGTCTACCTTCTAGCTAACTTTATTGTGCATTCCTGTTTGAAAGTCAGTGCTAACTCAACTCCCTGTAACTACTGCGAGAAGTCAAGAAAGGAACTTTCAGTGTAGACCAGTAGATGACAGTTCAAATCCACAAGCAGATGTATTTCCTTCCGTGTTTGTGGCAGGTACAAACCTGTTCAACAAGGATCAACTTCCAAAATTGTTTAAATAGTTGATTATGGAACACAAATTCAGAGTTTTCATGGAATATAATGTCATAATCAGATTTTGATAATTTCTTTTCCTCAATAATTAACAAAAAGTCCATGTATTTCAGAGTGTAGAGGTGTCGGAAAAGCCCATCCAGGGGTGAGCAGTGAAGCTGTTACCGGGATTCTGCAGATGAGGACTAGATGCGCACTCTAGCTACTTATTGAGGTTCTTAAACTGTTGACAGAATATTCTAAGGAAATTATTTCTAAAATCCATTTTTAATGGAACTCAGTCTGTCTTGACATCTGTAGGTCAGACTGTGGTAAGATGCACTGTTTTGTGAGAGAAGGGTCACCATGTTCATATGTAATCCGCCTGCCTACTCACAGCTACTGAGTTTGACTGGTAGTATTTCCTAAAATACAGATTTAGGAACTCTGTAAATATGTATATGACTTGTGTAGGTTATTATATAAAGAAGTTTAAAACTCTCAGTGTTCATACCCTTACTTTTTTATAGTGACCATCCAGATGGTGATTGTCCACCGGGGGCACTAGCCTGGCTTTACCCTTTCTTTTTTTGAGGTGTTTAGAATACTTTTAAAAATATCAATATGACTTTTAGCACTGGCCATCTTCTTTTTTCAATGTGCCCAGTTATTTACTTTAGTGCTTAAACAGCTTTCATTTTGTAGAATTTGGGAAATTTTATTTTCTAAATATGATCACACTAATCCTTATTCATTGAGTGTTTTCTGAGCCAAGGTTGTATTAGTTCTTTAGTGATATTTCTTTCCGTACACTCTGAAGATACTATTCAGTACTTTCCTGTGTGTGCATTTATAGAGGCACCATATGCGGTGCTATGTGGGGAGAGAAAACATACGTCATTTACTTTATCCTGAGTCTCAGGTTTCCTGGTTGAGACACCCTTCACTGTATTGTTTGTTCTCAAAGGGAATTAAGACTAACCAAGCTGGTAGTCAGAGTGTTGAACCAGTGGTGAACATATGAAGTGGGTAGGCGCTATAACTCCTCGCTTAGATGCTTCCAGTTTTCTCCTAGTGTGGTTTTATTGACTGTCTAACCAAATCCAGAGATGAGTGTCTGTGTGTCTTATTTTTCCTCAGTGTTAGAACAGTGCTTGCTGTCAATTGGTTACATTTTACCCTTTAAGCAACACATTAAATTTTAAAATATGACCTGTTTATCTGACTACAAAGTGAGTAGATTGGGAAAAGATTGTTGTCAAGCTTGGACAGTTAGAACTGTTTTGAATCAACAGTTGAAGTTAAAATGGAACCCCCAAGAGAGGTCCATATGCTTACCCCAGGTAGCTAGAGTGGCAAGAGAAGGTGAAACACACCAGAGAGACAGCCTGCAAAAGTGTCTTCAGTCCTGTATATCACCAGAAAACACTTGGTGAAATCACCATTCATTTTATCTCCTGTAAAATAGAGATTTGAAACCTCTTTTTAGACAAATCTTGGGTTTAGGCTTGAACTCTCATTCTTTCTGAAAACAAACAGAAAGAAAAACAAACGAAAAAGCAAAAAACTCCCATCAGAGGTGAAAAGAAGAGAGGTCTTTGGTGACTCATGGGACACCAAAGACAATTCTAAACCTGGGAGACAGGAATCTGTTCAGCTCCTATAGCATGTAGCTCACATTTTGGGAAGATTTTATAGCATCCTAGACCAAGGAGCTAACCTTTTGAGGGACTTAGATTTGAAGTCATCTTTAACATGGAACTTTCTTGAATATTCTCCAGAAAGATGTCCTACACATTCCTTCCTAGGAGATAGCCCAGCCACACACAGGAAGCACCCAAGCTCAAGGCTGACCTAGCCATGGTGCTCTGCCCCCAGTGCAGACCTCTCTTGAGTAATCCAGTAGAGACAACCATGAATGGCCATTGCCTCTGCTGGGGCCGGGCCAAACCTGTCAGAAGCAAATTTCCATAAGTTCCATGCTGTAACTGAAAAGGGAAAAATACCTTTATAGTTGATAGTGGTTCAGTGTTCTGAGCACCTTCGCGTGCATTAGTTCATTGAATCCTAATATTAACCTTTTACTAGGAGAACAACTAAAAAGCTGCGTGAAAGATCTTAATTAATATTTCCGAATCCTAATTAAATTTGCTGCATTTTCCTTTATCAAAATACAGTTTTTAGGAAAAGGATGGAAGTCAGAGAAATGGGAATTTGTGTTGTTAGATTAGAAGGAATGTTTGAGATTATTGTCTGGTTAAATGTTTGACAAATGATCTATTTGGAATGACTTTGCATAATTATACTTAAGGTCTTTTAAAGAAAATTCACTTTTAAAACTTTCATAATAAGAAAATACATCTTAGTTTATCTTATAGATTTGTTTTCTGGCTATGTTGTGCAAAGTTGTGTAGTGATTTTAATACAGGGATTTTTATAAATAGATTTTAATGATTATTTCCTGGAGATGATTTGTCCTTCAGGACAGATCGGCCTAAACTAAGCCCTCTACCTTCGTCGTCGTCTTGTGCTATTTGTGTGTTTTTAGTGCATGTTGACTTCTAGAGTTACTTTTCCAGTTTTAACTTCTATAAGAACCGTTTGACAAGTTGTGATTTTTGAGTGATTTATACAGTCCCTTAAACTTCTTTTGTATCTCTTCCTGGAACTCTTTAGTTTCTTTTCAAGTGAGGTGTGATGTTTCTCAGGAATGTATTAGAAAATGTACCAAGTCCATATAAGAAATATATAATTATTCCTGTATTGTTCTGTCTTTTCACAGCAAATCTTGGCTTCGGGTTCAGTTATAGGCATGAACTCGGTACATGAGAAGAATGATTACTTGTGGATTCCTGAGAAAACATTAACGTTCTTGGGGACACTGTCCCATTTAATGGTTGTCTTGTAAGGGTCAGATGTTTTCAGGTCTAGGTCTGGAAGGTAATATTGTTCCTATGATAAAAAGACAGGTCTAAAATGTCCAAACCGTGACACTGCCGGCAGTGTTATATGGACTGCTGTCCATCACTCGTAAATATGCCCACAAAGTTATTAAGAAGAGAAATAGGCATACCTTGAAATATAAATTTGGATTAGATGTTTTATATTTATTATAAGGCCATTAACTTCTAAACCTTACAACTAAGTGAACTAGGCTCAGCAAAGGGCTTCTGAAAGCAGGCCCAGCATGTCTTGATCTCTAAGGAGTTTTCTAAGTAACAAGACCCCACAGAAGAATATGTGCTCCATAACTCCCTGATCTTTGAGACTAAGTCCGGATTTCAGCGAACTGAAGTTCAGAGCTTAGCCTGGAGCAGGAGGCGAGTTACGTAACCTCTGTATAACAGTGTTTCCAGTTTTAAGGTAGGTCATCACACCTGCTATGGTTCGGAGGGTTAATACACATTCACACATAAACCAGCTAATAAATATTAGTCTCTGTTTTTATAATTCCTAAAAAAGCATAACACTTTAAGTTTGTGTAGTAAGAGTCCCATCTTACAGGAGCATCTCCGGCATCAGGTAGTTCACTCACTCACTGAGACCAAAGGGTGTTAGTCTCATAACCCCAAGAGTGTGATGCATTCAGCAATCGGTGAAGAGGCAAACCAGAATTTTCATGTCAAAAGTGTGCTCTGCTGCACAGCTTTAGTGAAAGGAAAAGCAGCCCAGTGCTGCAGCCTGTCCCTACGTGGGAGGGGGTGAAGCTCCCATTCCTGGCTGCTCCCTGGCGCCACTGTAATAAGGGAGTAGTGCGCCTACCTTGATAAAAGCTATTCCGATTGCAACTGCATTTACTTCACCTCCTGTGCTATTTGTGGGGAAGAGTGAAGAGTAGTTTGTTTTGCCTGGGATGAACTACTTTATGAATTTTAATGGATGATATAATATTAAAAGCTAAACCAGGATTAAAGAAGATTTTTTTTGTACTAAGCAAAAATAGTACTTAGTAGAGTGGAGTAGAAAAGATTTTTGTTTCCATTTTTTACCTGGGGAAAAATTCAGCTTTCATATTTTGAAAAGTTGCCCAAGTCAGTTCCCCTTAAGCAATATCTTGTGTTTAGGAAAAAATGTGGTTCTAGAATTCGAATGGCTTATCTCTGATAAGATGCCTATCTGGGCCGGCATGAGGAGCTGTGTTAAATACCTCTTGGCTGAGTAATGCAGCCAGGCACTAACTGTGTGTTTTTAGACGTTTTCTCCACATTCTTTTCTTTTAATGCTGCTTTTCTCCCCACCCCCACCTCAACGAGGAAATGAGTATTTGGTTGGTTTTTGTTATTTAGGATTCTTGCTTCTTGGTTCAAGTTGTAATTGCTTTATAGAAAACTTAACAAAAATTTTAGAAACAGAATCACAGAAACTTAAACTCTCCAATTTAACTTTTACAAAAGAGTGAAAATTGAATGACCAGATGAAATTCCAAGTTTTTTTTTTTTTTTTAAAGTGCTTTGCTACCATAGAACTGTTTCTTCTAATGTGAAGGACTTTGGGGCCTCCATTTCCATAACATTCGATTTTCAAAGCAATTGAAATGGCTTTTTCCTTCATTTAAGCAGTGAGAAAAATAGGTATTAGAAGGGACCCCGTGGGGTGATCAAATCTATCCCTCTGCCACAGAGCGAGACCACCCCAGAGCAAAGTTTCAAATCTCACCAAATCACTTTGTAGGCCATTTATCATAATGTGTTGGCTCTTCTGCCCCTAAAGAGATGTTTAGCAGATTAGGGCTTCACAGCCCTGTGGGTTCCTAGTGACCTCCAATCTTAATGTACCCCTTGCTGGAATAGACCCAAAGCTGGAAAAGGAGCCCCAGAGATCTCTTTGCCACTCCCGCGGAGAACAGGTGACGGTTTTAGCCACTTCTGAGCATTGTACCATAGGATGCTTTCCTTCTGCTGCTGGGGCTGGGATGGAGGAGGGGTCGTACTGTGTCTTCAGGAGGTAATTCAGGTGAAAACGACTTTGCTTTCAACTAGAAGTTCCCCTTGGAACTCCAAAAAGTACGCTTTACGGGGCCTGTATTTACTTTCAGGAACTTAATCTTCTGGAGCGGCCTCTGCTAACTTTCATGCAGTGTGGTTTTGGGAAGAGAGTTTAGTTAATATGGAATACCACAGTTTGACATGTATTATCTGTGCACTTATTCTAACATGCTTTATTTTTCTGTTATTCAAAGTTTATTTGCAAGATGATAGCTCTCTAGAGAAACCGTGGTCTCCATGGAGGGCCCTAGCAGTGAACTCCTGATTTTCCTTAGCTGAGAAGCGTGACCCTGCATCCATACTAAGTTTTCAATTACATTTTTGCCAGTTTCCTAGGAAAAATAATTTACCTTGTTGTTCATAAGATCTCTAAGTCTGTTTCATATAACTGCATGATAAAAATTAAAATTGGAAATAAAAATGATAGTATCAGATTTTAAGACTGAGATTTGGTTTCCAAACCCCAGTCTTTGTTGGTTGAGAACATTTTTTTTTTAGCCATTCCTGCTTACCTCCATTATCAAAGGCTTGGTACAAATTTTTGATTAATTATATAGTTTGAATAGACTTGTAATGATATATTTTGTATAAACAGAAATGTAACTACATTTTAAGAAACATTTTCTTCTTGTCTAGTTCTTTAAGTCCAAAAGAAGTCGTTCCATAGCAGAATGCTAGGAAAAGGTGACATAACCAGACAGAACAGCTTGGACATCACATACGAAATTCAAGCAGCCTTTCCAATAATTGAGCAAAAGGCTTTCTACCTGTTCATGGATGGACAGAAGATTTAAATATGCAGTTCTGTAAATGGCTTTATTATGGAAGATTTTAAAATGAAACATAAGAGATAAAGGCATTTTTAAAACGTCTGAAATGAGAAAGGCCATAGTATCTAACAGCTATCGGGGAGGTAACTCTCTATTAGCACTGGGCACCCAGTGAAGACAACACGTGCATTATGGTTCTAATCGTGAATTTCCGTTGTTAGGACTGAAATGGGAGGCAATTGGGAGACAGTTCAGTGTTTTCAAATCCTTGAAGCTCCTCTCTTTTCCAGAAAACTTACTTTATGGCATTATTGTTCCTGTCATCTGGCGGTTGCCTTCACATTACAGATGCAATCACCTGTGACAGTGTGACGTCCTTAACTTAAGCAGTCTGATCTCAGGGCAATAACTAATGTCGAATGACCGCACTGTTGATCACCTTGATCATAAAAGGAGTCACGGTGCCCAGCTTGGATGCCCAGCCTGAGAAGCTTTGAATCAATTTGGCTAATGAAAAATGACAGCCATGTTCAAAATGTTTTGTAGGTGAAAACAGCAACTCTTGCCACTGAGAGGAATGGGAAACCAGAGAACAATACTATGAACATCAATGCTTCCATTTATGACGAGATTCAGCAGGAAATGAAGCGTGCTAAAGTGTCCCAAGCACTCTTTGCAAAGGTTGCTGCCACAAAAAGCCAGGTCAGTACCACTATCAGGCATCAGAGTGTTGATCTGCCATGCCTGTGGCACAGTCTATGAAAGACATGTCTGTATTCAGTGTGGGTTGGCATGACCAGGAGGTTGCAACCTCCAGTACTGCATAGAGAACTCTGTTGAGCAGTAGTGTTGGAATGTCGGTGGTGGCCCCCCAGCCGCCGCTCCTAGACCAAGAGTTTCTCAGGGAGGCTCTGAGGTGGTTAATAATTGATTGCAGAAGTGGACTGTCATGGGTACAGCTTATTAGGCTGCTTCATAAGAAACATGTACATTATTGTCTCATTATTCCTCAGATACCCTTCAGTTTTAGTCTAAAAGAATCATACAGCTTCCTTTGCCGCTGTCTACCTGTCGTGGTGCAGGAGCTTTTAAAACAACCACAGACACTCGTGCATGTTAGTGATTCCCATTTTTCTGTAGTTGTACAGAAGACAGATTGAACTATACTACACTCAGAAAACTTGGCCAGCTGTGATGACTTCATAGAGTTAAACTGGAAGTCCCAGACCTCTTCAAAGCAAACTTAAAAGCAATAGCTAGATCATAGAGCCCATTACCAGATCTCTTGTTTAAATAAGACTCTGCTATGTTGGTAACTGTTTACTAGAGTCACCCTTTAATCACGATTGTCTATTAGCCGTTTACCAGAGCCATGAATAGGTTTTAGAAGCTTAGAATACAAGGTTCTCTTCCCCTTCACAAAAGGACTTGGTAACACTGTGGTGGGACTTAGAGGCACACAAGGGCTTGGGCAAGATTTTAGTAACTTGAAATACTACACAGTTCTATTTTCATAACAGTTAGATGACCTTTTATTTAACATCCTGATTGATGTTGATTTGTGATAGAATCTACAATTCTGGGAGTACTCACAGCATGAAATTTATAGCATAATACTTTTTGGCTTTTCCTAAACTTTTACTCGGTCTTCATTAATAATGGTTCTTAATTGGGGTTTTACTTTGGAAACATGTTGCTCCTGTTTAAGTTGTAGGCCGGATGAATACTTAAGGGATATCTTGGAAATGTTATATAAAAATGATTAAACTCAAGCTGTGGACTGTAAAAAATTATAGCTTTATAGGCCGCATGCCTGCCTTACCCTTCAATCACTGTCAAAGTGATAATTTCTACAATAATATGTTTCTTTTATTGTGAGATTCTAAACATCAAGTACTGTTTAAACATTAAACGGAGTTGTTTATGTTAGCGCTGTACCCAGCGTGTCACGCACCAGGCCACCGTCATCTCTCGTGGAATGTAAAATTCTGTCATGAATCATGGCTTGCATATCGGAAATTACTGTAATTTTGATTGGAAATTACAGGGCTCTTGAAATGTTTCTAATTATGATAGAATGTTAGAACTGCTTCAAACCTGTGTGTTTCTTCAGATGTCTTCATTTACATGCCAAGACTACGCTTTACAGAGAAATGTCCTGTCTCACTCCACCCCACCCACCCGGCACATTCTTGTTTTGACTACTTAGTCTAATTATGATGAGGATCTCTTATTTAAATACATATTATTTTGCCTTTCTTTCTGATCCTGCATCCCCCACCCCACCCTGGCCTGTCCAATTACATAATAAACTGTCTTTCTACAAAGGCCAGGCACTTTCTCCAAATCTCCAAAATGGAGGAGCTAGATGCACATTATTACAGTCAGGTCAGCCATGAAACAAAACAAACAAAAATTAATATTAAAGCTTTTCCGTGCGTCTCATGTTGCTTGTCACCTGTCATTTACCTGCATGTGCTACCTCTACCCCTCCCATTTGCCTTCTGCTAAGTGCCTGCCACCTGTGGCTTGACTCTTGCTTAGGTGACACTAGAGATTCCCCACGTTTGGGCTGAGTTACTGAGTCAGGAACCACTTGGGCTACTTGAGTCTGTTTGGTGTTCTGTGGTGTTTTTAAGGGTCTTAATCATTGTTGCCTCAAGTGTACATTTCTGCAATGATGGTGAATGGCTTCTAAGCGTCTCCCGTCTCTCAGTGTCTCGAGAATACCCCAGACTTCTACTCTTCCTATTAGTGGCTGAAGAAACTTCAGGGAGCCAGGTAGAGGCTGCAGCCAAGTGGCCATATGACTCTCTTCCCTTGAACGGCTATTCCAGTCACTAATGTCTTCTACTTCCGACAACATTTTATAATTTTTCTTGGTTACTCAGTTTAGATGTTACACTGCCCTCTTTAAAGACACATGCAGAGTGCAGGGGCCTTAGGAATGAAAGTCCGGAGATTGTCTATGTCATAACAGGACATCTGACCAACACGGGTGGCTGCCAAGTTTAGGCTTTGTTCTTCTGCTCTCAAAGGAAGCAGAAAAGCTAATGCAAAGTCTTCAACACTGACCTTTACACGGTGAATTTTGTAACTTCTGAGATAATAGCTTACTTCTCAGACTAGTGATCAGGGCTCTTCAGAAGGAAATACCATTCCTCCAGGTGGGGTGTGTATAAAATGCAGTGTGTTCATATAAGCCTTTACGTTACAGATACACAAATGGATAGCATTTCTAATGTGCTCAGTAGGAGATTCATTCCTTCCCATGCAGAAGAATGACTTATTTATCCTGTATTTATGTATTTGGAATACCTTGCATTTTGAAAGGAGAGCATGCTCTCCAGTGACAAGTGCACAGAGTGCTTTGTCTACAAGGAGCCTACCTGTGTTGATTCTCCCTTTTAGCCAGGACTACATCATCTCATTTCTTTGATGAGTAATAGAAATGAGATTGTTTTAACCCGGAAAGAAATGTCTAAAGGAAATACGCAGGTGAGCTCTGAAGGTAGGCTACTCTTGTGCTCAGTTAGAGAAGCTGCTACTGCATACTCCAAAGATGATGTTCCCTGAAGCTGATACAAATGGCTACAGGAACACACTTTTTCTTTTTGGGACGTTCAGATAAGCAGCAGTTTTTCCAGGTGAGTCAAATTGGAATTTTATCAAACATTTACTCTGATAACCCTCAAATTATTATGGAAGCAGGATTTGCTAATTTTACTGTTTAAAAAAAATAGCTGATTTAGATAATAACCATTACGGTGTCAAGGCTCGGCTCCTGCTCGTTGGCTTCGGTGTTTTCATGTGGGAGATGGAAGTGGAGTTTTTCCTTAATAGTGGCAGATGTTAGACTCTAATTTTATTCCGCAGAAACCCCAGGAGAGCTCTGAGACTTCAGGTGTGTGTCCAGCGAGGGGACGTAACAGCGCCAAAGGCCTTGCCTTGTCCATGTAATTTTTACATTGATTTTGCGTTTGTGGAGTGGAGCCTGCAGACCCAGCTGCATGGGCAGAGTCAGGGGCTTCTGCTGTCCCCGTCCTCGCCAGGAAATGGCTCCTCCTGCTTGCTTCACAGCTCAGGATATTCCTAGGTGCGGCCGGGAGCTGTGCTGTTACATTGGACCGGACACGCTTGCAGCGTGATCTTTCTCAAACTCCACAGGGAGAGGACTGGCTGCTGTGATTTGAGCTGGATTAATTAGTAGAATTTATTTTAATTTTTTTAAATACACAAAAGAGGATTTTAACTTAAAAATAGTATGATTTATAGAATGGACCAGATAATTTAAAACCATTTTTGTTTCTTCTTCTAACAATTTCAGACCCTTCTGTCTGTGAAGTGTAGGCCTGTAGTATGAATGAGAGGTACGTGGGTCCTTGGGTTTTAAAAAAATCAAACATCACTCTGACTTGTAGGTTTGGTAGTTGACATGTCTAATACAATCAAACTGTCACAAATCAGGAGGGCTAGAACTAGGGCTAAAAATGTAGTGTGTAAAGGAATTTATAGTAGCAGACCTAGAAATAAACTAGGAAAACTGTTACACTGTATCCTGTCATGTTAGGGAAGGCACCTTCAGTTTTGTTCAGGCAGAGTTGTGCTGGGTGGAAACCAGGTGCTAATGCATTCTTTCAGAATGTTCCCGTCACAGACTTTGCCATGGCACGATTTTACCTGTGCAGATTCTTATTTAAGGTACTCGGGGCCCCGCAGGCATGCGAGCCACAGTTTCTCTTACTTCTGGGGCCATATCTCTCAGGAGCAGTCCGTGAGATCCCTGTACTGTGTCATCTGAGCCCGTCTCTTAGATGTGCAGAGGACATTTGGTGCAACCTGTCCCTTTCCAGCTGGGGAGAGCCACACCCTGGTCATTGGCAGCTCAGGTTTCTTGGGTGCTTGTCTGAAGGAGGAAGGGCAAGAGGATTGGTGAGAACCAAGGAGGAAGAGGCACAGGGCAAACCTAACCCTGCAGCTCCCATCTCACTCCTGCTAGGTCAAGTTGAGCATGTGCTTGACGAAGCCCCTGTCCTAGATTCTTGACTGGAAAGGAGGGGTTGGTTCTTTGGTCTCCTCTTGAGAGTGTTGTTGGCAACAACTGCTGGAAATATCGTGGGTGTTAGTACTGAGGATACACTTGCTATGCTTTTCCAGAACACTGATCTATCTGTCTGGTTCAAGTTGAATACTAAACTAGCCTATTGGAATCGATGCTTTATGTACCAACCACCCTGGTCAGCATGGCAGTCTATCATTGTATGCCAGACAGTGTTTTTCAGGACTAGTTAAATCTGTGGATCTGAATAAAGTTAGCTTTCTGTGCTCTGATACAAGTGCATGCTTTGGTTAAGGCTTGTTCTTCCAGGTCTAGCATTATTAAGAAAAGTGTGTGCTTGCCCATTTTTTGGCTAAAACATTATATAAGGGGATATCTGACCACTTAAGTACTGTTCCTACGGAAGTCAAGCAAAAGGCCTTTGGCTCTCTTGTTAGTATTTTCAAATGATTTGAAAATCTCACTCTTTATCTTCTGAAGTTGATTAACTGAAAGTCATAAATATATTATTTTCTTTTACAACCAGCATATTAGGTTTAATGGTTACAAATACAGTCACAATTCGTTAAGCGCAGTTTCCCCATTTGTAGAAACTTTGGGTATAGTTTAGAGAAAAGGACTTTGGTGCTCTGGAAAGAGGGTC